AAGAGATACGTAGTTGAATATTAGTATAAGTATATAAAAATTGTAATAGTTTATTGTTGTGAAATGCTGCATTTTATGTATTTTTTTCAACTTTTCAAATACTTATGAGCTTTTTTCTGTACATATGTATTTTCACCATAATTATCTTTGTATATTGTTCTTTTATCATTTTCAGTTATTTTAAAAGCATTAAATACATAGATTTCCAGATAGCATCTTTCATAGATACATGATAGGGGAATACTACTTTAAATCGCCACATCTTGAATATTTCAAAGAATAATCCATCACCACAACCCCACCTCCCCCAAAATTTCAGGGCATAGATTTTTCCATTCTTTCTTGATATCTGGTCATTTTTCTTATTCTTAAACTTGTTTATGTGTGTTTTTTTACTGTTATTTAAAACTAAGTCTGATTGTTGCTAGGAGTAATTATTTTGCTACATTGTAAGTAAAGCATCAGAATATTCCAAAAGAAAGAAGGCATCTTTTCCTTCCACTTACAGGAAATCCTGCCTAATGAAACATTAGAATAATTTTATCTTCTTCATAAGAGCAAGAACATGAATAATTTTCTTTAGGGAAAAAATGTCCCTTGGATATAATTAGTAATTCTTGGAAAATGCTAGGACCCAATACATGCATTGTCCAGGTGCATTTTTATAAATGAAAACTGGGTCTATATTCAGTTGTCTACGTTAGCAACTTAGATGTTCCTGAGACATCTAAGCCTCTATGTGCCTAAAAAACATAGATGTTATCTATGTTTCTATAAAAACACAAGAGAACCGATAACAAGAATGTGTCAAGGTATTATTTTACAGATGTTACTTTCTTACAGAAGTATTCACAATGGTAATATAATATTACTATATAATATAAATACAAAAAAGGTATACCAAGCCTAAATTAAAGCTGCAAGATCTGAATGTTAACTCCTAAGTACTTATACAGTTTTTAATACTATGGAAAAGAGGTTCAAAATGGAAAAATATCATCATACAGAAAACACTGCTACTTGTTAAACTAAATGTAGGTTTGCTAAATGTAAGTGTAACAGATACATTGTAAAATAATAACTAATTCCTCTATCTACCAAACAAAATCCTTTATTTGTACAATAGCCTCTTTTCTGACTTTGAACTTTTAATAAAATGTCTGTTATAATTCACCTAGAATTATTTTCAAAGTAGAATTACAGTATCAACTTGGATGGTTAACCTAACAAATTTCCAGTTTCAAAATAACACAACAAAATATTCAGGACCACATTTTCATAACTTATTACACAAAACTCACAATGCTTATTTAAAAAGTGTAAGAAATTAACATGTGATATGCATTCAAACATATTATTATTTACCTACTAGAAACCAAAAGAATATGTGTAATTCCAGAGAGACTTAACAAACCAAGTTCAATTTAAACACCCGCACAATAAAAGATACCATTATTGAAATGTGCTTTACCACCACCATCCTTGTGTCTTAGAATACCAGGTACGCACCTTCTGCATACTGTATTACACTCAGAGATACAATTTTATTTAATGCAGCACGCAAACGGAAGTGGTGGCTATCTACTTCCGAGACGATTGAACGGCTATGGAGAAAACATTGAAAATGTACTAGCTTGTTTTCCCCCCATCCAAGCGGAATCTGTGGGCTATTAGTTAGCGACGAATTAAAGGAGAACTCTGCACATGCTCAGAACCACTTTCCCCTCCCCGGCTCTTCTCAACTTTGCAGGAGCCACCCGAGGAGAGGATCGCAGTCAAAGCCTCCCCGCTATAATATGTAAAGAAAGGCAGGGAGCCGATCGTTAAGGGCTTTCCCGTTCCCCCTTTCCCTTCCGGATCTTTCCACTCACACACTCCGAGTCGGCCGGGCTACCTCCAACCGTCACTGGCGGCTCCACATTTTCAGTTCCAGCAGTGGCACCGGCGGTGCTTGCCGCCGCGGCTAAGCCAAAGCGGTGACTGCTGCTGCGCGGGGAACAACCTGCGCTTCCAGGCGGGGAATCGGATTCATCGTCTTCGCTGCTATCCTGCGAAGCGCGCTGTCTCCTACGATCCGCCATTTTGACGGGACCAAAAAAAGGAAACCAGAAAAACGAAACGGTTAGCAGGAGGAGGAAGAGGAAGCAAGGCCCAAAGAGGATGACGGGTAACGAAGGTGACGTCCCATCATGAAAAGACTACGATTCCCATCAATCAACGCGGGTTTATTTCAAAACTTCTATCCGATCACCCAGAATTCTGTGCTTGGAGGCCCGAGGAGGGAGAAGGTTGCGTGGAGTAGAAAATTCGCGCCCAATCAAGGGCGATGACATCACGAGAAAGCGGTTCAATAGGCGAGGAAAGGGGGGGGGGGACTCCTGGCGACAGTGTCACGTGCTTTATATTTTCTAAACTGCTGCATGAGAGGTGGGGACGGAAGGTGTCCTGCTAGTGCAGCTAGTCAAAGATAGCATGACGTTTTCCCATTGCAGGGATTACATCATTCCCAGTTTTCCTGCAGTGCTAAAATAGTTGAGGCGCAGCAGCTTTCTCTGGAGAAAACAAGATAGCCATTAATGTTTAAAAGAATAGCGGCTTATGTAAGGCTAGGATAGTAGCCACTTGATTATTAGGGAGACAAATGCAAAATGCGATCCAGACATTAGGCAATGCGGATATCAACAGTGCTGTCTTTGTGCATCATTCTGGCAACTCCTATTACACCACCTAATGCCACGAGGAGGGGGCTCATCTCTATATTCTGGCCAGATCTTTCCCATGCTATATTTGATGGCAAAGCCCCTGAGGATGGGAGGAGCCCTGACTAAACAGGTTTCTGAGGTGTTGTTCCTTGCTTCCATTCCACTCTGCGATCTCTTCAGGAATCTTTCTAATTTCTTGAAGCCATCTTAATTCAAAGGCTACCTCATTTTATGTTAAGGAAATTTATAATGTGGAGTACTTCCTTTTCTTTGCCCTGAATATTCCACTGATTAACTTAATTGGGTTGACTCCATTTTATATGAGGAGATGGAAGCAAAATATTCCTATCCATTTTCTGCATACTGCATTTTCATACATCTTTATCATTTCCCCTTTTTCTTGTTAAAAACACGAATATACAGCCTTTCTTTTTAAAGGAAATTTCTTGTTTTTTTATTTTCATTGGCTTTTTTGTAATTGGCAAATAACTTTATTACAGTAGTCATTAATAATTAATAACTAATAATTGTCATTCTTTGACTATAAAAAAATATTCAGAACATCTATTATCTGCCCCAGATTTGTGTTGAGAGTGGGTTAGGGATTCTCATATTTATTTGAGCAATATTCATTACAATTATTGACTGTCAAATATTTAAGGAAGATTGCCACAAAGAAATAGACATTGGGCTAATGCCTATTTTGACCTAATACTGCCTAGAACTGCCTGAAGAAAGAGCAGAGCAGTACCATCTCCCCAAACCCAGCAGGCAGTCCATGGGAATATGGCCACTGAGGACTTCCCACAACATGATGGGCTGAGTGACAGGGTGTTTTTTTTTCCTCTCCTGGTACAGACAGCTGATTATGCCATCAAAGCTGGCCATTTGGCGGTCCTTTCCCCAGATTTGAACAGGAGAAACAAGGAATGACCCTCAGATGGTTATGTACCTGCTGGGAAGAGGGATCTTGACAAACACAATTTTCAGTAGAAGCTATCAGAGGGTTAGGTTTTCCATTATTTTCCTTCCAGCTGTTTATCTTTAAGTATCCTTTGGTTTAACTGCAGTTTAAAGTTTTCTTTACTTTCTGATTTATATTTTTAACTGTTAATCGACTGGTTGAATGCTGACTTATCCTACAATTCCTTGTTGGATTTTAACCAATTTTTGGCACTTTTTTTTACGGTTTGTTTGAGAGTTTTAAATCACTTTCACTTTTGCTGTAAAGAAGTCCATGGCAAGAGCATTTATCCCTTGCAGTAAAAAGCAGCCAATTTTTACTACAAGGATTCTATATTTTACCAGTTTTTAAAAGCTTTGGTCTTATTTTAACTTTTGATGGAAAATTTCATTTTTTTTCTAACTACTTTTTATTGTGGGGAATTTTATCTTCATTTTTCTCTGTGGTTGTTCAGTTATCGTACCTTTACTTCTCTAATCCCTGAGATTAAAACTGCTTGCACTTTTGTCGTGAATGCTAACTACAAGAGTTTTGAACTATATTAAAATGTAAATATGAATATAAATAACAGTAAAGGATTTGAATACAATATATATTCTTTACATTGTCTACAAAAAGAGATAAAGCCCTTTGGGATGTCTTTAAAATGCTTTTCAACTTACAAACCCTAATTGAAAACTTGGATAAAAAGTTTGATAAATTAGCGACAATGTTAAAGCAACCCCAAGATAATAGCCAGATACAATAACAGCTGGACTAGACTTACAGTCAAATTGATTGGAATCTAATCTTGCTGGCAGATATGAAGGAAAAGGAGTCTGGCTTGAGAATTACAGGTTTGGTGAATAAGATTAAAAGAGGCACAAATATAAAAGATTCAGATGATAGAACTGATGAGTGATGGACTGGATTTTCTTAAGAAGATAGATGGAATTTAGAGTGCATTTATTATGTTTAATCAGAAAGCAATTGACAGGAGATGCTGTTTTTTATTTACAGAGATTTTCTGAACAACACATGCTGTGGAGATACTTACAAGAGACTTGTGACTCTGGGGAATGAGATGTAATTGTTAGGAAAGATCCCTATAAAAATCTTAAGGAAAAGTTTTATTATTAAGAATAAAATGAAGATATTGGATTCTGGACAGATCAGAGATAAGGGCTGTGGTAATTTGTGGTTGTAGACTTTCTATGAGTTAAATACAATAATAGATTGTTATTGAAGGATTTTGAGGTTTAACTTTGCTGGTAACAAACAGGTTTACCTTTTAACAGTGAGTACCGATTGTAATGATAAGGCAATGTCAAATGAGGCAATTCATGACAAAAGCATTAATATTCTTTACATTTTATTGTAAAAAAATTATTTCAATTTTGTTTAAACATACAAGCAGAATTTCTCTTTTAATACTCCTTGTTAACACTGTTTAAACTAAATGAACAAAGCAAAACAATTTAGAAACAAAAAAAGAACATTAACAGCCACAAATTTGGTATTTACAAACTTTTTCTTTATAAGTTATTTACAAGACAACTGATTTTACATATTGAAAATGGTATAAAAAGAATGCATTTGCAGACAACCACATTTGAAAGGGCGGAAAAACAAGGGAAGGCGAATTATAGACAGTTTTTAGAACTACTATAAAGTTGGTTTTAAAATGTTTGTTTTTAAAAAACCAGATATAATTTGCATTGGCTTTTTTCATTAACAGAGTTTCAAATGTTGAACTCTCTACAGGGTGGGAAACTATTTTCTCCAGCCCATTCCCAGCTAACATCCACTGCAAACTGTTTCTACAAACCCTACCTATTTCCATATGCCTAGTCATCTTTTTTATGATGCATGTATTATAACTGATTGTAAGTCTTTCTGAGTCAACATTCTGTTCATTGAGGGAAGGGAAGAGATAATATGCTGTTTTATTCAGAATACAAATTGAATTATTTCTGATAACTGTCTTATTGTGGGTTAAACAAAAACACTGTGTTCTGAAAATGGAATATTGATTCAAGAATTGATCATGTGACACATTTCTAATTACTTTAGAAAAAGCAAGATCAAGTTTTAAAATCAACATTGTCTTCAAGAAGCTTCTACCAAAAACCTGCTTCTTTGAAACATCCACGCTTGTACTTGGCAGGGGACAAAAAATAACCACTTATGGATGCATGCTGGCATGCTAAAAAGCAAAAGATCCAAATACAGCCTTATTTAAAACAAAATCAGGCAAACATTTTGCACTACTTCAACTACAATAGACTACATGGCAGAAAAGAGGATCTGTTCTTGTGATTTTAATTTCAAGTCATAGAATATAACTTTTAACAATGTTCATACTAAGTGTGCTACCTTTGGTGGAAAAAATAGTACTTTAAATTCCCAGGGAAAACTGCCCAGAAGTGTGACTACAACTGTCCTGAAACACCTGGAAATTAAAATGGACAATGAAACAATTTTTGTGTCCTCCATAAATGATGCAGAAAATTATATTTAGGGTTTATTTTTACAATTCAAGAAACTGAAACCTCCATTTATCTAGAAATTTTAGCCATTGGAAAAAAAAGTTTCAGTATTCCCATTAAGCAGGCAATACACAAACAAAGGCAGCTTCCAAAAATGATGTAGATCAGGCAGAAGGACATGCGATTTTACAAACGAATTCCCTACACTCAGGAAAGATGACAGTATTGATTTCCACTTACTGTAAAAGTTACAGGACTATGATTGGCTTTAAAAAGTGCCAAACTTTAAAACAATCACAAATTGAAGTTTAAGCTACTTCTCAATATTTCCACTGGGAAACCCAAACTGTCAATTTTTTAAAAAAACAGTAACAATTGTTTCACAGTTTTGACAAGATATTTGGTTAAACAAAACAGAAAAACATCTAGAGACAAACTCGCATTTCATGGTTATTTCTGGATTTTGCCAAATTACATATCAGAACTGTGACAAAGATGTGAAGACATGCAGCTCTTCACTACTAGAACTGCCTGCATTCAGTATTACAAATTCAAGACCTGATTAGTAATTGTAATTTGAATCAGAAGGCATGAAAAGAACTCATTAAAAAGCTGGGGCAGGAGAAAATACATGAAACAATATGTGGATGCTTTATAGAACAGCAGTTAGAAGCAATAGGTCAAATGAAGTGTCTTGTGTTGCTCTATGATGGACAACCCCTTCCCCCAAAGTGGATTGTACTGGTTGCAGTTATCCAATACAGCTCAGCAGAGGTGGCATACCATAAATTGTTAACCTTATTCTCTCAACACAAACCTCCAATATTTTCTACCAAGCAAAGGAAAAAAAATGAAAAAAGTGAACATAAAACCCAAGGGGGAAAAGTGTAAGCATAAAAAATATTTATAATGAACAAGAATATACATCATGGAGGATGGTAGAAGAAAAAGACATAACAAAACATGTCCTGTTCTCTGCCATTTGCAGCAAATGACACAGGCCAATCGCCAAAGACAGATTTCTCCTAGTCTGATACTTTTATTTCCTGCATGTCCGATGAGGAGTCTGTTTCTTTTGCATTTCTAGCCGGCAACGGCTTCGTTCATCCAGCCATGGCAGTTCAAAGTTCCTACCAGACAGAAAATGCCCCATAGATTATTTGTGATGTTGAAAAGAGGAGAATGGCTAGTAGTTCTGTCTACATTTGCATAACTTGGCTACAAGCCTACATTCTGGTAGCAAAGACATTAAACACAATTTCTAACACCTAAGCACCATTTCTAGATTTATGTAACATTTGAATACAGATGATATTGAACTGTAGCTCTTGAATAGTGTTTTACCAGGAGCATTGTTTTACAATATTGGGTGCCTATAAGAATGTTTGCTGAATAAACCATAGTTGGCTTAGTTTATAACATCTGCTTTCCCTTAAGCATTAGATTGCAAACTGTAACAAATCCATCCACATAACATGCTATGATGAAACTTAAGCAACCACATTGTGGCTTCACCCAATGTGTAAAGCCTAAATGTGTAAAGTTACTATTAATTGTAGAAAAAAAGGAAAATATATAAAAAATGTGAGTTTTAATTCATGGGAGCTAAAACTAAAAACCAAGTATTTTTGCCCATGTATTTTATCAATACATTTTCATCTCTTTACCTTTGCAATATGAAAGGAAGGAAACCAGGACTGCAAAAACACAAGTAATAAAGGCTAAAGGAATGGGATTTGTATGATATTCACCATTAGGATGTAATAATCCCATCAAAAAATTACAAAGTGAGTTTTTAAAAGGGAACATTTCTATTTGTCCCTTATAAAATATATTTTATAAGCAACAGGTGATACAGGATTGATAGTGACAAGTATTTCTTTCCTTAATCCATGAACAAATGAGTCAAGAGTTACAACTGAACCAACTTTTCCATATTTCCTATTCTTTTAAAAAAAGTAGCTGTTATTATTCGTAGACCAGTCAAGGGATTTCTTACTAAGTCTCTATGATTTCTCAATTAATTTCACCATTGTAAAGTCTAAGAGGGTCAATTCCCTATGACACAGCATTGTACCTAATTTTTCCAGTAGCTTAAAATACTAAAATGCACATAAGATTTAAAGGTAACAATATTGGCTACATGCTATTTGATAAGTTTTTGATTTGGCAATTTCTCATCACAGTGAAACCCAAGTCGGTCCACAAAATAATCAAGCAAACAAAACACTGCATAAGCAGAAAAAAGGTACTCTGCTACAAGTTTTATAAAGTACATTCTTCCTTAATGCAGATATATACTACTTTGGTATACTTACTGTGGGGTTAATTTTGGTAATGGTCGGCCGAATGCTACAACAGGCAAATATGGGGTGATCAGCAAACTTTCAACTAGAAGTGGAAATGAAAGAGAGTGTAATTTCACATATTTAGCTACAATGTTTATTCACTTTATCATACTTATTTGAAAATATCTGCTTTTACAGTAGATTAATTCCAATCCAAGATTCTTTGTACATAAGATAGGGATATGAGAATTTTGAAAACCACTCACCATCGTCTGACTCTGGGAAAAATGAGGTAACTTCAGGCTCCGATTCCTGAATTCCTTTCTTTTTATACATTCTAAGTTGCAGTCGCTGCAAAATTCTTTGCTCCCGGATACGCTGAATATCCCACCTGTGAATGGAGTGAGCAAAACAACAACATTAAAGTTTCCAATTTTCATTTATGGCAAATTTGAGTATTATAGGTTCTATAAAAAAATCAGCATGTCAAGAGTAGTGCATCTCTATATTAAATGCTTTTCAATTTCTATAGGTTATCCCAAGTTCCTGTATTACAGCCTAACCATAATAATTCCTTGCCAGATGAAAGTGCTACCCTGCTTTCTTCAACTAAATACAAATCCCCAATCCAGAGTCATTCAGCACATAGTATAAGGCATAATGGTAAAAAACAGATTTAAGATATACTAACTGCATAAAACCTTTCATATTACATGCTTAACTGCTTGCAACCTATGCAAACTTTATTGTTACATGTTTAAGTGAAAACAGGTACTGATTTTTTTGGAATATAAACAGCTTTAATTCATCACTGACCTTTTCCTCCTTTTCTCATCCAATTCCAACTTTGCATGTCGTTTGGAAAAGACATTGTCATCTAAATTCTGTGAAAAGTTTAAGGAGAAAAAAAGCACAGATAATATTACATTCTGTACTTTTCACAGTATCAGAGTTCCTCTGTTTCCATTTTCTGATGGAAAGTATTTAGATCTGCCTTGCCCATGTGTTCATAAGAAGCAGATTTAAATTTTGCTTTATGATAAAGTACCATCCAAGGATAAAAGGAAATAGGACTGAAGATGTTCAAAACTGATTGCCAACTTTCCTTCTGGGAGACCAAATATGCTTTTTGTATCTTTGCAATACCAGTGGAAAAATCTATTTATTAAAATATTATTACTTATTACTTTTCCCATCACTGTTTATAAAAACAATACTACAAAAAATATGACCTGTCTAAAGATGTTCATTCAAAAAACAAAATTTGAAAAAGTTAAGCAA